CTGCCTGTCTGCCTGCTTGCCGACTTTTGCATTTAGTCGGAGAGTTCGAATTTTGCCAACTGCCAGGCTAGCTGGCAGTTGTAATAAGCAATGCACTTACACAGCCATACACACACACACACACACACACACACCTCTGCTGCCCAACTATTGCTGTTCTAATGTCTGCAATGTTGTCGCCATTGCCGTCGCCATCGCCATCGCCATTGCCATCGCTGCCATTATATCGTTAGACGTGCACCGACTCACGTCGTCGTCGTCGCCGTCGTGGTTCAGAGTTCTTTGGTTTATTTACTACTCGCCTGCCTGCCAGCCGGCCTGTCTGCCCGCCTGTCCTGCCACTGCCACTGCCATCCCCATCGACTTTGATTGCAAAGTTTACATGGCACCAAAGTGCATTTTCAATAAAAGGAAATATCAAACTTGCTGGCAAACACGAATGCGAACACTCACACATTTGAACTCTCTCCCACAGTTCCACAGTTCCACAGTCGCACGTCCACCTCCTTTACTTTTTTCCTTCCTTGCTGACGTTACTGCACTTGTTCCGCTTCTGCCTCTATTTCGATTTCTATGCCCTGCCCCTCGCTGCGCCTCGCCTCCCTGCCTCACCTATTGCCTGCGTCAGACAGCAGTAGCAGTAGCAGCAGCAGAAGGGTATGCCAGTAGGGTCGGGACAAAAACCTATTCTGCAATTCTGTGACCTCGACGCTGGGGCATAAATGTTGTCGCGCCACAAAACACCCACTAGGACGCAACACTCCCACCACAGCCCCACCTCCACCCGCAACCCTTCACATGGCAACAAATGCGCACCCAAGTCAACCTTAAATTTACAATAACAGCAGCAACAAAACTTGTCGCTAAACTTTTTGACACTTTCAAATGTGCTGCTATTGAAAATTTAACGCCGCCATTCGCCCTTTCGCCATTGAAGACGAAGCAGAGTAGGGTTTAGAGGCATCAGCAGAAGCTTCTAGGTCTTCAGTGAAGGAAACTTTGATTCAATACACTATGGAGCAAAGGGATAATTGTTGTGATTAAACCTAGACTAGCTAATAAAGTGATTTGTGCTCTCGGGCTAGAGATGTAAGCCCAAAAAGAACATCGATTTATTACGAACATCGAAAACGAAATTCCAGGGCTAGCATTGCTGGAGTATAACAGAAATCTATTTAAAATCGAATGCAATCGATTGTTGGAAAATCTACACTATTGATTGTTTTTCATTTAAATCGCTGTTTTGCACACTGCTTGCGAGGGCTTATCTAATAAAGACTGAGTGTCTCTTAATTGATCACAATGATTGAATAATTATTTAGAGCTCGTGGAACTTAAATGGGAACAAGATAGAACGCTACAGTCGAGCACGCCCGACAATAAAATACCCTGTACCCTCTCCACAAAAAATTTCAAAAAAAAAAAAATATTTAAAAAAAATTCATTTTTTAATAAAATTAAACAACAACAGCTGCGGGCAAAGCTGCAGGCAGAGCATGGGCAGCGATTTTATTTATAGCTATAAATTTCTACAGAATTGACCTATCATGATGATAATCACTCATAATCACTAACTGGAGGTATCTGCCAAATTTGAGTACAAAATTCCAAAATTACGGAAGTTATGGGAAAAAAACTTAAACTCGTACTTTCTCGGTCTTAGGAGAATCTGAATACCAAGTTTGCTTGTTCTGGCTCTTATAATTTCTGAGATCCTTGCGTTCATACAGACGGACGAACGGACAGACGGTCATGTCTATATCGACTCGCCTTGTCATCCTGATCAAGAATATATGTATATACTTTGTGGGGTCTACCACGCCTCTTTCTGCCTATTACATACATTCGCACAAAACTAGTATACCCTTTCACCCTTTGGGTAGAGGGTATAAAAACCAATGAAACGGTCGTAAATGAAAGTACCATTAGACTGTAGTAGACTGCTTAGTATGGTGACAAAACTTCGAATTTTTATTTGAAAAACTGTTTATCTTTTATATATATCGGCAATATAATTAAGCACATGAAGTTATTATAATAATGAAGTCGCATTCAAATTCCCTTTTCACTTCATTTTTGCCAAAATAAATTATAAATGCAATCCACAGTGTGGATGGGTTTTGTTGCAAATTGTTGCTGTTGTTGCTGTTGTTGTTGTTGTTGTTAATTGTGCAATGTGTGCATTGACATATGTTGAGCTCATGGCCATTATTGATTTGAAACTTATGCAAGAGTCGGGCGAATGAATGAAAGATGTTTGTGCGTTGCTGAAGTTGATTCGTTTGTGCTCGAAAGTTGCTAAAGAACTTAGTTTTAATTTAATTCCTGAAGTTGTTGGAGCACATTAGCTAATTGCAGGAGTAAGTCACTGCCTCGGGCAGGCGATCAGCCGTCGAGCAACAACAAAAACAACAACAACAGCTTGACCCTCAACTCTTGAGCCAGTCAGCACACACTTGCCGGATGTCCGGACTTCCTTCCTCCTCTCCAACCACTTGTGCAATGCAATGTGGCAAGCTGCTGCTGCTTCTGCTGCTGCCTCGTCTTCGGCGTGGTTACTGCGGCAAAGGCGCGCGCGTTTATTCATCAAAATTCACTTTAACTTCATTATCATCGTTATTGTTTTATTTATTCCACCTTCTGTTTCGCCTCAAGACACTTGATCGCTCAATTGATTTTGTGTCTCGCTGCCAACGTCGCAGTCGCAGTCACAGTCGAAGCCGCAGCCGCAGCAGCAGCAAAGCTCTGTCTGTACCCTGCTGCTGCCCCTCCTCCTCCTCCTTCTACCCAGCTTGTTCGTGCGCTCAATAACTTGACTCCGTCCGCCTCTCTGGTTGGTCTCTCAGCTTGGCTTCGTGGACTTGTCTGCCTGCCCGCTGCTTTTTGACGGTTTCGTTGTGGTCACTGTAAATTGTTGTTGTTGTTGTCGTTGTTGTGGGTTTTGTTCTGCTCATTGTCGACACTTTATTGACTACTTTTCTGGATGAATTTGTTGTTTTCTTAATTTCTCTGTTGTTCCTTACTGCTTATGAAGCTTCGTTCGCTCTTTGGGGTCGGTCTCTGATATCACTCATACGTAGCCGGCATGCCAGCGTGTGTGTGTGTGTGTGTGCGTATGTAGTTGTTGTTGCCAGGCTGCGTTTAATGCCGGCTGCCGCTTCTTCTTCTACCTTCTTGTTGTTTTTTCTGCCTTGCTTTATACGCCCCATGTTTTGGGTGCATCGATTCGGTTGTTGTTGTTGTTGTCTGTGTGCGGAGATTTTTTAAAAATTTATTTTATATAATTTTGTGTTGTCTTTTTTTTACTCATGTGTTAAATTTGGTCGCTGTTCTTGTGGCTGCTGTTGTTGTTGTTGTTGTTGCTGTTTGTGCGGCCAGACACAAAGCAGCAGACGCACAACTGCGCTGGGCCCGGCGACGGCGTTGGCGGCGTTATTGTGGCAGACTGTTGAAGCTTCTGGCGAAGGGTGTGGGGGGAGGCAGAAGACGGGTCTTGCATATGCAGAGAGTTACACACACACACACACACACACACACAGAGGCATTGATTTAGCGGGCTTTAAATATGAATTGAGGTGTTGTCCTCGCTTAAATTAGCCCGCCTTTTATACATACTACCTATATACATACATCTACCATGTATACATACTTACAATTTTTGTACAGTGTTCTTGGTTTGGTTTCATCGTTGGTTTTTATGAATGTATGTATATATTGCACATACGAGTTTATCCACCCAACAAAAAAGTTAACGATAACGATATCGCTTTCTGAAGATTCACAAACGATTTGCAAGATTTGCGAAATGGTTGTATCGGCTTGTTATCAATAGTTCTGGGCACGCTATTAAAAACCTCTTTTTCAAGTCATAAAAAATATATATGTACATACATACATAAACAAGTATGTATGTAAGTTCGTTGCATTTCGAAATTGCTTATTGGAAATAACGCATGCGATGTAATAATTCTTGAACAATTCCAGCTCTTGGTATAAAAGATAATTAAACAACTGGGCAACTAAATTAAGCAAATTTTCAACTGAACCTACTTTTTCTGCCTGTAAGAAAGTAAGAAGTCCCCACTTTCTCAGAAGTTTTCACAACAACGTAGTTGGATATGTTTGTTGGGTGGGAATACGCTGACCTGGCTTACAAAGTATGTCTCATCTTTTCAACATTTCTGCTTAATTTGTGAACTTTTTCCACTTCTTTTTTATACCCAGAAACAATCCACATAATTTAGCTGCATTTTTTGTTAACGGTTCACGTTCCATTCAAACGCTTATCGACATCATCGGCATCATCCGGCTTACCATTTTGTATGGCTTGTGTATGCAAAAGTGTCAAAAGCTGCGTAAAATATTAACTGCTGCATGTTTACAAGCGCCGATTGCCAATAAAAACAAAACTGGCCACAAATTATCAGTGGAGCGGTCATCAGAGGAGATGAACAGACTCCACTCACTACTCATAATCATCTCAATATACTTTTATAGAGTTCACACCTCGGCGTCGTCAACTAATCAGAAATCAGTTAAAACCACTCGCATATACATATAAATAATGCATATTGAATCTTTTTACGATCTGCCAATTGCCCAAATAAAATGCTTTTGGCTTTCCAAAGCGCATGCGCAACGAATGGTATAAACAAGTTATGGGCTGAAAAAGAAAAGAGAAAACTCTTCAAAACCTAAATTATTCAGCTACAGCTATGGGTGTGGCTAGTCGCTATGTCTTAAGGGCATTGTGTAGGGCATTATGTACTTGTTTCATTTCCATTTCGTTCCTCCTGTATGCAATACTATTATCGGGTTATCGGCTTGCAGCTTACAAAACTAAAAGGCAGGACAATTCGTGTCTTTTGGCAACATGGCAACAATGTAGCTGTCGTTTTAAACTTGAGAGAGGAAGACAACTCTAGAGTTTCGTGACACAGCAGTGGCTAAGATTTGTGCAAATTTTCGCTTTTCATGTGCAAAATGAACCGCAAAAATCTCAAACTTTGCAAAGGCAATCTAAAGATCAAGGAAGATATGGCTTTCATTGATGGCGTGCTGGCAGCCGGCGGAATAGCCCACGAGCCGGAACTACGTCCGTTTCTGCTGGACATTGCCTACAGTAAGTAACACAAAACGCGTTTTGGGTGCCAATAATTCAACATAGAACTCGTGCTTCGTCTATAGCCATGATGAGGGATAGCCTGTTGGAGGCCCGGCGCTATGCCGATCTCCAAAATCAAACTAATATCAATGTCGAGCATATCCGAATGACCCAATTTGTAGAACCTAGGGCTGACCTACTGCCGATGGACGATGAGCCCTACTCGGCTTCCACGGGAGCTACAGTGCCACCGGATTCGGCTCGAATGGATCCTAAGAAGTCCTCGGAGCCACAGGGGCATGCCAGAAGGGTTGAACCTGAAGTGAAGGCCCCCAAAAAAATGAAATTAGACTAAAGGGCCAACATCAACCTTGACGGCGACACGTGCAACGAGGTCTATTTGATTGATCAACAATTAATATTAAACACATTTGATATAAAAATGCATTTAACTTTTTTATAATATATGATTATCAATATTCAGTTGATACTCGTCAACTTGTGTGTGGAATTTGAAGAGGGACCTTGTTTAGGAGTCGAAGGCCAAAAATTAGCATCAAAACCTGACAAGAAAGTTTGGATTAATCAAAGAAAGCGTCTGTCACATCGGTCCTAATTCGAAATAGTCTACTTGGGAATAATGAATAATATACTTATTGTAGTAAAAGCTAAGTCGATCATTCCAGTAATGCCAGAGATAGTCATGATAGTCATGAAAATTTGCCGACGAAGTGCTGAATATGTTGACCAAACCCAAACGAGTGACCAATTGGAACCCTTGTTAATAGAAATGCGATGCTAGTAAGCTGGGCTGTGGCCGCTGAGGATGAGTCGCCACAAGCTAATGGTTTTTATTGGGCTCTAAAGTAATCGGTGATGGGTAAACGCGACGAGGAAAGCACCCACACAAATTATTGAGCAAGACATACACAATTCATGAATACTCTCTTTGAGTTAACCCCTTCTTGCCCCGCAAATAAACAATGAAAAAATTTATTGGCGCCACCGATTTCCGTTCACTTGAGCTGAAAACCGCTCAATTTTTCACCTGTCTCGAGCGCCTGTGGCTGGCAACGAACTACGAGTATGTATGTGGAAGGACTGGCGAATGGAATTTGATACGGGCAGAAGCTTATTTAACTGTCATGCATCTTCGTTGGACTCCCTATTTCAGGTCGCATTGTCAGCCCGTCGTTTTTATTTTGACAGTTTCAGCGTAAAAAAGGTTTCGCCTCGCCGATCAATTTCGCCCGAACATTCTCGAAAAGCCAACAAGAATATGACATTAAAGAAAGAAGCATCACAGTGCAGACACAAATTATGTGGAATGTTATGTGATAGAAGAGTTGGAGACGCCGATGCCGATGGCGATGGTGATGGTTATGGCGATGGCGATGGCGATGGAGGCGGCAACTGAGGAGGTGGAGAAGGCAGGGGAGCAGGCAATGTAGACATCGCCAACTTGCATACTCAAGTCAACTTGCTGGCAATGTCAATGTTATAGTCAGACTGGCCAGCCACCACACACGGCCGCCGCCGGAGCCTTGACAATGACAGTCAGCGCATAGCATAGCATAGCATAGCATTTCAGATAATACAACCAACAACTACAACTACAACAAGAGATATGGCAGTAGTAGTAGCAACAACAATGACTGCAAACTGCTTTACAGTTTACCTTCAGCACGGCCAGCAATGACTCTGACTCCGAATACGGCTCTGGCTCTGGCTGTGGCTGTGACTGTGACTTTGAGAGCCTCGAGGCATACACGTACCACGCACATACTTGTACAAACGAGGGAACGCGCATATTATGCAAACCAACAGCAAAAACAACAAGCATGCCAACAATAACAACAGCAACTAAAAGACAAAGACACATGGCCCACTAGACATTGACTGGCATGGCTAACTGCCCCCCACCAAGAGTTGTACAAACTGGCTCCCAACCTAAACAACTATCGATAGCACACCAGGAATAGAATGGTTCAGTAACTATTGATTGATTTGGGCGACCCATGTCTTAAAACAGTTTATTTTTGGGATTAATTTCCTAAAATGCATTTACTTTGTATGTGAAATGTATATTTAGTTTTAATTCTTTAGTCTCCAACAAGGTTCCGTTTACTTTTGAATTCCTTAAAGTTTCAGTTTTTCCTTAAACATCGATGACTGTCGATATATCGGAAAACATCAAGTACTTATCATCAAAAATCGATACAACCCTATTATTTGCGTGAGAGAGCAGCTCAATCTGTGGTCAGACATGCAAGTACTTTGTACACCTATTCTTATTAGTAATTCGTTTACTTAATAACAACAACAAGGATCCGTTTACTTTTGAATCCTTTAAAGTTTCAGTTTTTCCTTAAACATCGATGACTGTCGATATATCGGAAAACATCAAGTACTTGTCATCAAAAATCGATACAACCCTATTATTTGCGTGAGACAGTAGCTCAATCTGTGGTCAGACATGCAAGTACTTTGTACACCTATTCTTATTAGTAATTCGTGGACTTAATAATCTACCCATTCATGCAAAAGCTCATTCTATTGGCCATTGGTTCGATCAATTCTGTTCTCTATGTAGTCAATCCCGCTGATACTTGTTGAGATGCTTATCAATTGTGCTCTCTGTTAGCCCCCTTTGACGCCAGCTCTTGGAACTGGTTCCAAACCACACAGCCAAGCCGCAGACTGACAACGACTCCGACTACCTTGATTTCTGTATATAAATACCTCACTATCTGTTGTATCTGCGTCTGTCTGGACTAGAGCAGTCGACGAAACTGCTGTAAATTAACGCGGGCGTTAAAATTGCAATTTTTCACTTAATACCAACAACAACAACATCAACAAGAAGAATAAGAGGAAGCAGAGGAGTAGCTGCGCAAGAATTGCCACAGCGTGTGGCAAAGAGACAGCGCTCTGGCATTAATACCTTAACTTATTTAAGAATTGCCAGCACGTACGCAAGCAATGCCCGCCAACCTACAGCCAAGAGGCAATGGCACTATGGAGGGGCCTCCATAATCCCTCCCCCGTACTCCCCACCGCCAGCCAACACAATTCAGTTACTAACTGAACTCGTTTCTCGCCTTGCGTTTTACGCCCTACCCTGGGCCTGGGCAGCCTTTTTGATATAAACTCTATGTAAAGTGTCCTTGAAATAATTGTAAAATATGTCCATTCGATGCCGCGACTGCGCCACTGCAATTGCACTCTGCTGACGAGCAGGACGTCTGGACGGCTGAACGGCTGGACGTCCCTCAGGTCCGCAGGTCCGGCCGGTCTCTTGATTCGTCGCCTGCGTGGGTGCACTTGCCAGTTTGCTAGTTATTTTTATTATTCATTTTTATTTATGTCGCTTTGTTTCGCCTTTTCGCTATTAATAAATTTCAATAAGTTGAATTGAATAGCTCGGCAGCGAGCAGCGAGCAACGAGCAGCTTCGGGCCGCCCAGCTCAGCCCATCCCAACCCAGCCGAACCGAACCGAACAGAACGCCCATTCGCTCGGCACCGGCCATGTGGCATATTTGTGGCGCATATGTCACCGAACATTGCTCGACATACACTCAAAAATAATTGTGTCTGGCAACTAGAATTTGTGCGCTCTTCTTCTTCTTCAGCTGTTGATCCCATAAAGGCACAAGTCAGGCCCTGATTGTAATTGAAACGCGAAACTTTTATTTTGGCTAAAGCTAAAGCTCTGTAGTATATTACAAACGATACAGTTTCTAGCAGGAATCCCACTATTTGAGTTTGTTCCTGAGTAGGCGCTCGGTTCCAATAACGTCGCAAACATCCTGACAGAACGGATAATTGAAAAAATGTCGAGGCTATCATAAAATTAAATAATTTTCCTATCTAGGACAGGTTTTAAGCAAAGATAAAATATTGAGAAAAAAAATATGATTTTTTCAAATTTTACTCTGAACACATTTTTCACACTTCAAAGGGTAAAAAGGGTACATAATGTATATACAGTGGCTCCCAGCTTATTCGACCCAGTCCATAGTAAAATTTTTAAATGAGTATAACTTCTAAACGAATAGAGATATATATTATTAAAAAAAATCAATCAATTCAATGTCACAGCTTATTCGACTCACCTTAAAAAATATTGGCAAAAATACAAAATTAAGGTAAAACTTCGATTTTAATACTTAGTATAACTTCCCTGTTGGTCAATAACTACTTTAAGCCTTTTAGGCATCGACTCCACTAATTTTCTTGCCGTTTCCGGAGAGATCTTTGCCCATTCCTCAACAAGTGCAGTTTTTAGGTCATTTTTGTCGGATATATTTCTTTTCTGAATATTCACATCCAAACGGCTGGGCCCACATTAACTTGTCGTGGTATGTAGACAATCCTTTTCAATTTAATTTTACAACTCGACTATCTTATGAATAGCTGAAGATTTCGATTTCACCATCTATTGGAGCAATTAACCGAAATGTTAATGCCGCAACTAATGAGGAAACTATTGAAGTCCTTGCTGCGATTTTCAAGCAAATCTGCATAGCTTTTGTTGAATACTTTAATTAACTATTTCGTGTACAATTTTTTTCAAGTGCATATCATTCATTCCCGTTGCCAATTGCCGTCTGCTCATTTTTTGCGGCCTGCCTGCCTGCCTGCCTGCCTGCCTGCCTGCCTGCTTAATTGAAAATAGCAAATACAAATTATGAGCGCATTTTCTGATTGTGTGTACATACATACACACTCGCACTATACATGCATACCTATGTATTTATTTCAGTACTTATTTGTGTGTGTGTGTGTGTGTGTGTGTGGCAACGAACCGAGAGCGAACAGCAGTGGCATTTTTGCAAGCAATCAAACAAATAAACAGACACAGGCCGGCCCAAGCGTCCAAACCTCCACTCGACCGCTCCGTACCCCGCCGCCTTTCACAAACGGCAGAAAGCAGTAGTCGTCGCCAACATTCTCCCATATGCATATACAAACGTACATACATACACACATACTACATGTATAGTACACATATTCTGAAATGCATCGAACTATCGCGACTGGCAGCCCAACCTGTTTAATTTCAACGCCGCTCATTTCGATAATTTATTTTGCCAACGCGCCATCGGCTGATGATGGCAACGAGGCAACGGGGCGGGGTGGCAGCGAGGTGGCAGCGAGCTGGCTTCCGAAGTAAACTGAAGTGAAGGCATTACAGCCTGCATTATTTACTGATTAGCTTCGCCAAATGCAATTCGCTGCGGCAGATGCCCCTGCACGCTGGCAGGCAGGCAGGCAGTTTAAGCTTCCACTTGTACTTCGACTTGGTCGAAGAGAAGGTCGTTCTGCTTCTACGAGTAGAATATGTATTTGTGCAGCATTTGTGGCATTGCAAATAATTTGGCGAGTAATCTGTTGGCGCAATTAAAACATTATTTTTGAGCAAATCAAATTGTTGCCATTACGCTCGAGCGGCAGACGAAAGCGAAACGTGAAATGCAAG